TTGCGTCCCCCCCCCCGCTATTTTAAAACTCCTAGATACCCATACTGTATGCCACTGTATTGAATTATTCATATAAAATGTTGAATTAACTAGGTGATGTGTTCTATTTATCTTTCACTTCAGTTATGGAGGTGTATCAAGAAGTGCATCAGTTGTTACAGCGTATCTAATGGAAAAAGAGTGTATTAATGTAGAGGAAGCTGTATACGAGGTTAAGAAGAGCAGAAGTGCTGTGATGTAAGCCAAGACATGGAATTGTATATTTAATTATTAATTGATCTTTGCAGATCTAGCAAAGGTGACCTATAGACCTTTCCCGATTGTGTCAGTTAAACTTAACAACTGACCAATCAGAACAGGGACAGGATGACGCGCATGTGTAACAAGCACACGTATTGTCCCATAAACACGTGTTTGTATATGTTATAACACTATCGCTTTGTGGAACCTTATCAACAATATCCAAGGGCGGAGCTTAGTGGAAATGTCTATTGGGACCTACCATATAATGGAAAAACAACACAAATTATTTTTTTTTATTTCTAAAGATTACTATTAGGTTCTATGTGACAAATAGTTATGAATTGTCCATGGGAGGGTGATACTCCGATTAGCAAATGCAATTCTCCAATGTATACAAGCACCAAATTGCCTCATAATTAAATTTAAAATTTTGTAATTTAATTGTGATGCTTTTAGTTTCTTTTTAATTGTTTACGGATATTTTAACATATTGGTATTCAATGCAATTAAGCAATGAGTTGTAAAATATAATTTTTAGTAAAAAGGTGTAATATATTATTATTATCATCATCATCATTACTGGTACTGGTACAAATAGCTATCTTTTCAAGACATTTGGCAGACATTGACTTGATGTTGTCATTAGTAGGATACTGCTTTTAAGAACAATAAAATTTGAAACGAACCAACAGCAACATTGTCATTATTGATAATAATCTTATAATATATAATTTAATTATGTGTGTAATCATCATATATTATATAATCTGTTTTTCCTCCTACAGGCCAAATGATGGATTTATGACTCAGTTACAGCTGTACCATATGATGGGAAACAGAATAGACCAAACCGATCCAAGATATAAACGATTCTGTTTAGTTCAATGGGCTAAGAAAGTCAGATGTAGGTAGCTGTTTACATGTCATCTGTAATAGTTTATACTAGAAAATTGGGAGGATCTAATAGGAAGTAAAAATACCATAGAAGAAAAAAAACAAACAATAATTCTACTATAATTATTTGTAGTCATGTGGTTATTATCATCACAATTATTATTATTGTTGTGTTTGTTATTGCAGTTATTGTTCATTGTTTCTGTTGATGCTGATGATGTTTTTGTTGTTGTTTATCACCATTATTATTTATTTATGTGGGATACACACCTTCAGACTGATGGCACACTTAAAGTGAACGGTGCATCCTTATAATTAAACAAATTTATAGTAGTGTAGTATACCTACAGAAAAACTAAAAAAAGAAGCACATATCAAAGGTAATACAATTATGGTACATCGGACACCTAATCTACCAAGTTAATGTACATATAAAAGGTAAAATCAACAGATAATGAGTTGCATAATATATCATTCCTATTAACTCTTTCTTCCTATGTACTTCTACCTCCCTCTCCACTTCCTATTTTATATTCCTCAGTTTTGATTACTAATCTGTGTCATAAAAGTGATTCTGGTATATTATTATAATTATATATAATATTATTGTTTTTAATTTGCTGGTTTATGAATATTGTTAGCACCTATATTACAAACAGAACAAACTAAAGTTGAGTTGTATTGAATTTAATTCTTATATTATATATTTTCATTTAACTAGTAATACAATTTGTTTAATATACTTTAATTGAATATGATGAGTAATTTATACAGATTTTCTTATAAATCATGTCTTTGAAGTTGGTATTGAGGAACCACAACACACTTTGGCAGACGACCCACAGCATAGCTCAACCACGCAAGAAGTGATATTCAAGTGCAGGAAATGCAGGTAAGTTGATATTATTAATTTAGATTTGAGAGTAGGAGCATAGAGAGGCTAAATACTGTAGTTACTGTGTGTGCACTGAACCATGGAGACCCTTGCATCACTGGTACAACTCTCTCAGAGGCCATCTTGTGGTACAGATATACAGTATGGCTGAAATTAAAGTTACAGCACATTTTGGAAGAGACCTTCATGGTGCTGTTCATTTGTACCTGTAGGTGTGTGTACAAATTAAAGAATTCATTCTTTACATCTACCAGATAACAAAAATAAATTACCTCCCAGTCTTGCAGACCAGTTTTAATTTTATAAATTATTAGACTTTACATGGCAGCATATCATTAATTAAAGTAAAACAATTTGGAAGACCCTAAATTATTTATAAATCAGTTATGCAGTATTGGAAAAGAAACATTCATTAAGCTATACAAAAGTGACTTTAAATGTTAATACTGTACATTGCTTGATTATTTCACTTAGATTTATTGATTGATAATTTGGTTGACTGATTTCTTCTTAAATGCAGGAGGGTGTTGATCTCAAGAGAGAATGTCATTGGACATGACCAGGGAACAGGTCAAGAGGCTTTCAAGTGGCACAAACGGAGCTCACCTGTTGAAGTGGCCAGCGACCCCACAAGGCAATCCACATGCACTTCACTGTTTATTGAACCAGTTTCATGGATGAAATCAGCAGTAGTTGGCACCATACAGGGAAAGGTAGTATAAATTATTAAATAATTAAACTTTAAATTATCGTTATTATTGTAAATGTATTTTTATTAATACCTCCGCCAAGGAAGCTATAGGAAACATAAGATGCTCACTGTATGTATAAAATCTTTTTGTCTTTTTAGATTGCTTGTCCGAAATGTTCAGCAAAAATTGGCTCATTCAACTGGTCTGGTGAGAATAATTTTAAAGTGTTTATAACAAGTTTTACGATTACAATTCGATCTTGTGTTGTTTGTTCTATTTTGGTTAAGAAAGGGGATATGAATAGCTCTAATAATAGTTTTATGAATCATCTATTTAGGGTGTTGGTTAACTCGTACCCAATTTGGCAAACTAGTTTTACCCTCCTATGAGTAACAGAAGCCTATGTATGCTTTGTTATGCTTTTATTAATAAAAAATTCTCAAGCATTTTTTTTTAAAGAGAACAAAAACATTGCAATTTGCCTAAACATGGCTTTTCTTTGCCTTTTTTTTTATCCTTTAAATTGTTTATTTGCAGGTGAACAGTGTTCCTGCGGAGCCTGGGTAACACCGTCATTCCAGGTACATCTCAATAAACTCGACAAAGTCATTCAATGTCCAATACCCCAAGCACAACCTTTGAGTTGAGATATGTCAAGACACTTGTTGCTTCTCCATGGCACGGTATGTGTTAAGCAAGAATATTGAGGACTGTTTATAGATCTAAAGTCAAAACACAGAATAATACACAAAATCAATATATTTTATATACTCTTTAAATAACTGATTTCTTCTCTTGCCCTCCATCATTCATAAATTTCCCATCTTGATTTAGTATGGGATTTTTGTCACTGTCAGGTTAATTGAAACATTGTTTTGCAACTGTTTTTATATTTTATATAATCTGTCTTTGGAAAATGAATTTCACGTGTTTTATGAACATGTAAATATATGGCGAATAAATGAAATCTTTAACTCCTGTTAACTAGCCAATCTGGTAAAGGAATACTTCAGTAGTAATTTTTGAATGTACTGTATAGGCCTACAACATACTGGGTCACAACCATGGAATTATGGCATTCAAACTAAAATTACAGCAACTGTATAAGCTATTGATTGGCTACTTGGCTACAACCAATGTTTTATTTCCTCCATGCTACAACTAACTGAACATGGTTTTGACAATTAGACCCACTGGTGTATATGTGTAATAAAAGAATTTCTGTATCTGTACAATAAAACAATAGTTCAATAAAAAGCAAGGTTTTATTGAGTAAATGGAACATTTTAATAAACTTTGCTCTACTATATAATTAAATTCAATTTAGAAATGAAAATAAACACTCTTCTATAATTATTCATTGTGTCTGGAAATATGTGATATACACTTTCACTGCAATAAAATCCTGCATCTCTTTGTAGTACAGTATTAGACAATGTAAAAATCGTTGATCATCCTTTATACAAAACTGCTTGTATAGTTATTGATACCTTGAACATGTACTCTCCTTTTCATTTTTAAGCAATTGTCAAAGGGTTTAAAATATAAATATGTAATAAGTCACCTCTTGCTGAAGTAGGGAGATGGCGATCAACAATTTGTTTACATGGCTTAGAACATCTACAGCGTATTTTCCACCTTTAGTAAACTATCCTAAATATGCATTATACCATAATATTATTTAACATAATAACATTTCAAATTTGAACATTTTGTCTGAGATTTTATGAATATTGTATTTTTGATAGCTTTACCATTACAAATTTGTAGATATTTTCCATAATTTAATAAACAATGCTCTAAAGAAAATCATATCTTAAGATGTTATGTAATAAAAAAACAAACCTTTGGTTAACAAAACTTCCTCATGTTATGATATAAGAACAAAATATATGATAGAGATGGCAACAAAAGAGGGTTATATAGTTCAAACAATATTTAAAATTTTCATCATTTGAACAATTATTTTACTGTACTTTAAAAACTGAAAGCAATTTTGGGCAAGTTGAGTGGCTGAGAAAAAAAAGTCCGAGGCATCGCTAACTACAGCCCTAACATCAGCACTGTTTCTCATTGCCCAGGGTTCAGCTAGTAGAACCAAGTTCGGATAAGGACTTAAAATTCCATATTTCAGGAGAGAATGGTCTTTCCCCGATGTTATGATTCATTTCAGGCCCTGTCATGGAATGATATGAAGTTACTAAGCACCACTTTTACAGCTGCTATAGTAATCACCGACCAAGCCCACCTGTATACGCAATTCAGCACAATGGCGCAGCAAATTATGGGGTTATTCTCCTACCTCTTCCTTTTCTACATAGTATATATTTAATTAGATTGTAATATGTGTGTATTTCAGTGTAGGTAAAATTTTATTTGAAAATTCTGTGTGATTTCTTCAATTATTTGGCATGATGTTGTCATATCACACCCATATTGCAAATCGCAGGTATTTGTCTCATAAAACTATAGAAGCTTAAAAATCATTATTTAGGGTGTTCAATTTTGTTCACTAGTCACTCAATTTGCATTTACTTCTGCTGTTGTTGACCAGATACATTCAGAACTGCTATTACGTGCACATCAACATATAGAATCATGTAATACATACATATCAGGATGGGTGCGTACTTGTTGAACACCAATGAAATGACTAATAGCTGCACCATTATAGTATATGCTCACAAAGAGTTGGGTATCCTCTACACTGGGGCAGGCTTAGCACAATGATCTATCATGGGAAGTACACAATCCCTTTTCTATGGAATTTTCATTATTACAATAGCTCCTTACTGCTTTTGTTTCTAGGATTCTGGAACTGTTTTATCTACTTTATTGAGAATAAAATTGATACTTAACGGAGTATATTATGCAAATTGTTAACAATCACCAACTAATAGCCCTGAATTAATTGCACTCTATGAATTACCAGTATTAAATAATATATTTTTGTAATTAATGTTACCTTAGTGCTATGTCATGGAAAGATAATGAGATTGGGATTTATATGATGTAACCTTATGACCTATTGAACGGGTATCTGTCTGCAGAAGGTCACTTAGTATTACTGTTCCAATCTCCTGCTAGAGAGGGCGACCTTACTAGACCTAAACTCAGAGCTAGTCGCTGTACCCAGCTCATGGCCTGTGCTTTCTCCTCAGGACTAGGCATTACCTGTATATAAATAATAATAAACTTAGATTAAGATGGTGCATACTAAAATAGAAAAAAAATTATAAGACTCAAATATAAAAGCAACATTATTATTTATCATTATCATCATTATAATTATGTTAATATTATCATCATTATTATCATTATCAACATCATTATTGTCATTATCATCATTGAAACTTTATGGAATTGATGATTATTACCATTATCATCATTATCATAAACAATATAGAACATTTGTCTTTTGTTAAACCAAACATTTAATTTAGCTTGCTAAGTTTCAGCTGCTTAGCATAGGGCAATTTTTACTAAAGGATTTCTATTTTTCAGGCCTAATCACACTGCAGTCTGGGTAGTTAGAGACACCAGTGACATCAAGGTTTCCATCCAATTGCTATCAAAAGCTGTCAACAATTGCATAGCAATTTTACTGGAAACCAAGATTAAAATAAATTAAAATAATGGAAGCAGGCAGTGAGTTACTGCAGCAGCCATTATTCTTGAAATTTAAGTTAGTAGAGCTAATGGCGTGCATGAGGAATGTGTGTGTATTTGGTGTGTAATTGGCAGACTGATTTCAAGAGATGTTCAAGAGGAAGCTAACCTATAGCCTGTTTTCCACTAGATGAATATATTCACGCGAATCAAAAGTGTCGGTTCCTTCCTGAGCTCTGATTTGTTGCGCATTTTTTCGCTTCGCTAAAAGTAGAAACAATTTGAACTACTGATTGCGCTGAAGCGAAAAATCTGACGCTTTCAATTCATGCAAATAAATTTGTCTAGTGGTAAACAGGCTTATAGTTCAAAATGTAAACTATCTAGGATGTACAAATGTTTTATGGCAATACCTTATCAAGCACATGCCGGTAAATTAAACCATCCTGTCCTATGTAAAATGTTGAAAATGCATCTATGTACCTAAGGGATAGTAAAAAAAAATATATCTGTCAATCAAAAGACAATAATGGATATAAAAGTTATATAAATTGAATACTCAGCTCTGTCTAGACGACATTTTTTTTATTTGGCTGGAATACTTATGTGGAGCAGCCAAATCAAATGCTTAGATAATCAGATTTTTTAAGCATAATCATGATAATGCTTACAAAGTTGTTCTTTAAACACAACCTCTAGAATTTATATTCAGATTCAATTGAATAATCTAGTCTAAATATTACAGACAAATACACAAGAATAAAGTAAGATGAACATTCTTGAGGTACAGAAAGGAAATTTATACAATTCACACAACCTCTAGAATTTATATTCAGATTCAATTGAATAATCTAGTCTAAATATTACAGACAAATACACAAGAATAAAGTAAGATGAACATTCTTGAGGTACAGAAAGGAAATTTATACAATTCACAAAAAAAATATATTCTCCGTTTTAGGGATTTCTATTTTTAAAAAGTAGTCGGGGTTTACCTGTACTTTGACTTCCTCCGCAAAATTTTATTAACGTAATGAGAATGTACAGGTACGCCTTTGACCCGCCAGCGCACCTGGATATTGTCATGCTCCTGTTGGAGGGTGATCTTCAACACTTCCATTTGCACATCAGCAAAATAAACAAAACTTGAGTATTTCATAGATTGGATGCTCCCTTTGTAAGGCATGAGACCTCTGAAATAAATTTAAAGAACCAAAAATTTAAAAAACAATAAAACTATGCTAAATCTATCGAAAACAGAGGTGTATACGTGGACGTAGGCTGGGATGCAACCCCTCCATGACAGCAAATTAGATGCACTAATGAGTTAAAATACTAAAGTTGACCATTATGTTTTCAATGGAATAGGGATTTAGTTTCGCATTCTGGGTTATAGTTCTGAATTCTCATTTTTTGCATCGTCGTCCCCAAGGCCAAATCCAGCCCACACCTGGTATACACAGTGAAACCTAGATTGTGTATATGTCCCCCAAAAAATGGCTTGCGTCTTAATGCATGCTTTCGAAATACAGTATTACCTTGTTTTTAGACGAAAGATCTTGTTTTCAAATAATATATCTGATGAATAAATGCTAAAGTCATGATGCTTTTCAAAGAAACTGGGCATCTGAAAAAAAAAAAAAAAAAACGTTTTTTAATAGCCCTACAGTGTGTTTTAGATCTGAGACAACAAGTAATGTGGGCTAATTATCTATGACATATGACAGGAACTGCAAAATAGTACAAATATTGTTATTGTTTAGATTTGCGACGTATATTACTGTAGTTTGTTTCTGATTGGTCAGAGAACATTTTCTGCAACGATGGATTCAAAGTTGATTTCACTACCCATAATGTAAACTTGACGGTGTTCAAAAATTATGAATATAATTTATACATATGCAGATGCTTCATTTCATTTCATTTATTTATTAGTGTCTTGGGACCCCAAAAGCAACAAAATCACCATGACAAAAGTCTGGAGCCCCAGAAAACTAAACTACATTATTAGCGAGTATATAAAAATAAAAGTTTAAAATGTAAAAAGTGAATGGGCAAGAAAATTAAAATTATAAAAAATTACACAGATTTTGCACACAATTGAATAAATGATAAAATTTCATAAGTGAACGATAAAACATTTATGCGTCAAAAAAAAATTGTTTATCTTCACAACAATGTCAAGCTGTCCCATATTACTTGTAGTCTCAGATTGAAAAATCACTAATGACTGGGTAATGTGTGAAACAAACAGAAATTACTATACCTGTAAGTACTATAGAAGACATGTTGTTAATATTGTTTACACTGTTGTAAGCACATATTTTCTAATAATGAAAATAGTACAGTACATGCATGCTTTCACTTACCTCTTCTGTAAGCTTTTCCAACATCAGATGTAGTTGTTCG